AGAGAGAGAGAGAGAGAATGAGTGGGGGAGGGGCAGAAACAGAAGGAGACAAAGAATCCAAAGCAGGCTCCAGGCTCTGAGCCTTCCGCACAGAGCCCGACAGGGGGCTCGAACCCGTGGACTGCGAGACCATGACCTGAGCCGAAGTCGGATGCTCAACTGACTGAGCCACCCAGGTGCCCCGAAGGCCATATATTTTTAAGCAGATTTTGAAAATTTCAAAGTAAGATAATCAGTTGTCAAAGGGAGCAGCCCATGGCTGTCCCTCCATTTGCACTTCTTCTCTTGGAGTGCCTCTCTAATGTTTTGGAGAATCTGGTCATTTCTTTTTTAATGTTTATTTATTTTGAAAGAGAGAAAGAGACTGTGTATGAGCAGGGGGAGGGGGAGAGGGAGGAGAGTGAGAATCCCAAGCAGACTCCACACTGTCAGCATGGAGCCCCGATGTGGAGCTTTATCTCATGAACTGTGAGATCATGACATAAGCCAAAATCAAGAGTTGGATGCTTAACGAACTGAGCTACCCAGGTGCCCCAAATCTGGTCATTTTTGGTTTTACTTATGACTCTGGTTATACATCTTGGTTTTTCCCATTTGTTAAATGAGAATGACCATACTTTAAGCATCAGCAATTTCTCAATAATATTCTGAAGGTCATTGAAAGTGATTAAATACTGTAAATGGGACTTCTTGAGGAAGGCATGAGGCCATGGTAATTAGTTCCATGAATACGTAATTGTCAAGTCTTAGTTTTTAGATTGTCCTATTTCTTTCACAAGTCCTTTGTTTGAACATTTTTTAGTATATAGATATCCGTAAGTATCTTTAGTTGATGATTATTAAGAACACTTGCAATGTACATATCAAATGTTGATTTGAACATGGGCTTTGAAATGTTTCATATATCATTACCTACCTTAGTATTTGTCCGAAGACTCTTAATAAATCCTAGGCTTGAAAAGTCAACTCTGACAAGTATTGTAATCAGATCAGTAATAGTCGCTATGTCTTCTGAGAGTCACAGACATTCCAGACCTCAGTGATGCCTCTTTTTCTTTTGATATATATTTCTTTGCTTCTCTTTTCTTCCTCTGTCTCAAAATTCTTTTTTCTCTTTTCTCTTTCCCATTCTTTTGCGTTGTCTATATAGACACTAATATTTCAAAATGTTTGTTATTCACATCTAGAAAAGCTGATTTGAAGAGACCTAATTTGTATGGATTTCATGTTTATATTACTGGGCTGAGATTTTAAATTTATGTTTGAAAGAAATTTGTGTTTTAAGCTTTTTATTTTGATTTCCACAGTGAATTTTATGAGTATCATGCACTAATGATGGAAGAAGAAGGAGCAGTGATTGTTGGGCTGCTGGTTGGCCTGAATGTGATAGATGCTAATCTCTGTGTAAAGGGAGAAGATTTAGACTCACAAGTAAGTGAAAGTGACCAAAACCAAATGCAGAGAGTTTTTAGTTTGTGCTGTTCCTCTTGGATCCAGTTTACAACTCTAAATTGTAAACAGTGCTATTAAACATGAAAGGAAACTTAAGAGTGAAATTCAGTTGCATGTTAAATGTACTTCTAATATTTCTCCCCTTTAAATAAAAATAACATTATTTACTTTAGGTTGGAGTGATTGATTTTTCCATGTATTTAAAGAATGAAGAAGATATTGGAAATAAAGAAAGGTACGATTTTCCTAAGTTATTTCACATGTTGTATTTTCTGTGGAGCTCTTTACAAATCACCATGGGGTCCATCTACTGATAATGTAGTTTTTATTTACTTTTTTGTGCATAGTTCCTGCTTTATTTTGTTTTGCTTCCATATAAAAGTTTCACAAAGCAAAAATCACTTAGAAGGAGGCTTTAATACGAGGTATGACTTTTGGTCACACCTGTTCTTGAGACCTATTTTAATAATCAGCTGTTTTTTGTGGTAAAAGAGATGAAAACTTATTCACAGGTTTACAAATGCTGGTTCATTTCAAGATCCAGTGTTTAAATTTAAGATCTACTCATTCCAGCTAAGAGAAAGGATAACTATGTAGCATAATAGTTGTGCTAATTATTGCTACAGTTGGAGTCCTATCACAAATGTATCAAAATAATATGTACACCTTAAATTTATAGTTATATCAAGTATATTTCAATAAAAAATATACTGATGCAAAAGAAATTCTTAAAAAAAATTTTTTTTAACATTATATTTATTTTTGAGACAGAGAGAGAGAATGAGTGGGGGAGACAGAGAGGGAGACACAGAATCCGAAGCAGACTCTAGGCTCTGAGCTGTCAGCACAGAGCTCCATGTGGACTCAAACCCAGGAACTGTGAGATCATGACCTGAGCTGAAGTTGGACGCTTAACCAACTGAGCCACCCAGGCACCCCGTCTTTTTTTTTTTTTAATGTTTATTTTATTTTTGAGAGAGAGAGAGAGAGACTGGGCAAGAGTGGGGGAGGGGCAGGGAGTGAGGAAGACACAGAATCTGAAGCAGGCTTCAGGCTCTGAGCTGTCAGCACAGAGCCTGACAAGGGGCCAGAACTCATGAACTGCCAGATCATGACCTGAGTGGAAGTCAGCGCTTAACTGACTGAACCTCACAGGAGCCCTGATGCAAAAAGAATTCTTAAATATATTTTTTAATGGTATTGTTAAATAGATTACTTGTTAATACTAGATTTAATAAAGGTTATAATTAGTACACCATTTACTGCCTCCTTAATGTAAAAATGTTGAATTTTATTTTAAAAGTAAGATAATGTGGGGTGCCTGGGTAGCTCAGTCTGTTGAGCATCCAACTTAAATGATCTAGGGGTTTGTGGGTTGGAGCCGCATGTTAGGCTCTGTGCTGACGGCTCAGAGCCTGTAGCCTGCTTCAGATTCTGTGTCTCCCTTTCTCTCCGCCCCTCCTCTGCTCACACCTTATCTCTTCAAAAAATTAATACAAATGTTAAAAAAATTTTTTTAAATGAAAGCAAGATAATTTTTTTGCCATTATGTTTTACAACAGTTTTAGGTGATATAGATACTTGTTTGGTCATCCATTGAACACCTTTTCAACTGACACAAAACTACTTTTTCCCATCTTTAGGAATGTTCAAATTGCTGCCATATTAGACCAGAAGAATTATGTTGAAGAATTAAACAGACAACTGAAGTAAGTATTATGGATACTTGAATACTTCGTACATTTGTGACTATTGTCTTAGGGGTTTTCTTCATCCTTTTTAGGTCAGCTTTACCCTATTCCTTCCTACTAAACATCTTTAGAACGGGTTGAGGGAATAGAGAGTGGAAATTAAGAATACAGAGAAATCTTGGAGATAATTAATTTTCAACAAAAAATGAGAGTCAGATTTTCAGATAGGACCTTGAGAGAATTTAAAGATAGAATTTCTGAAGAGAGGTAAAAAAAAAAAAAAGGATACAATTTCAGGAGCATCTAGGTGGCTCAGTTGGTTAAGTGTCCCACTCTTTTAAAAAAAAAAAAATTAAGTTTATTTATTTATTTTGAGAGACGGCACATAGGGTGTGGGGAGGAACAGAGAGAGAGAAAGAGAGGGAGAGAGAGAGAATCCCAGGCAGACTCTGCAGTATCAGAACAAAGCCCAGTGCGGGGCTCGAATCATGAACTGTGAGATCATGACCTGAGGTGAAATCAAGAGTCAGTCATTCAACCACCCAAGCCACCCAGGCACCCTTAAGTGTCCCACTCTTGATTTTGGTTCAGGTCATGATCTCACAGTTTGTGAGTTTGAGCCCCACATCTGCACTGTCAGTGCAGAGCCTGCTTGGGATTTTCTCAAGGGGCACTCTCTTCCCCCTTCCCTAGACATGGACAGGCTCGCTCTCTTTCTCTCTCTCAAAACACATAAGTAAACTTAAAAAAAAAAAATTCAATTTCAAACTTATCCCTTTACCCTTGAGAACAAAAGGCTAGATATAGTGGAAGTTTATATCATTCTCATGATTCGAAAATTCATTTTTCCTACTTCAACAAGCTTCATGTGTAAATGTGGCTGTTGCCTCCCATGGTGGAATTTTTTTCCTTACAGTGTCACCTGGGCATTGAAGCTGCCAGTGAATACTCTGGGAAGAATTTCAGAGATCTGAATGTAAAATAGTATAGTGCAGTTCTGTCTAATAGAAGTATAATGTGAGTTGTTATACAGATAATTTAAAATTCTAGTAACCATATTAAAAGAAACTTGAAATTATTTTAGAACTATATTTTATTCAATCCAGTATATACCCAAAATATTATCATTCAGTATAAAAACTTTTCATGAGATAACTTATATTCTTTTTTTGTATTGTCTTCACAATCCAATGTGTATTTTACACTTAACAACACATTTCATTTTGGACAAAATAGCATAGGTATAGTGAGGAATCTTTGATATGTAGTTAGAAATGGACTGTTCCCATTAATTAAAATCAGTACCAAAAATGGCAATATTTGGGTGATGGTATTATGAATAATTTTTTATACTTTTATGATTTTCTAAGTTTCAGTAAGCATAAAATATAATTAAACATTTTCCCATTAGAAGAAGAAACTAAAGCTGTAATTCTTGCTTTCTCTGTGAAGTTGGATAGGAAAGATCTTCTATTTGTGCCTTTTTTTAAAGGAGTTTTAATGTTCATATGAAATATGTGTGTATGTATGTGTATTTAGTAATTTATATTTCTGAGATTGAGATTATATTTCTAAATGCAACTTTGTATTCCTTATTTATTTAATTTTAAACCTTTATTCCCTTTTAGGAGCAGGTAACGTATTCACATAGTTTAAACTTCAAAAAACACACACAAGGGGCGCCTGGGTGGCGCAGTCGGTTAAGCGTCCGACTTCAGCCAGGTCACGATCTCGCGGTCTGGGAGTTTGAGCCCCGCGTCGGGCTCTGGGCTGATGGCTCAGAGCCTGGAGCCTGTTTCCGATTCTGTGTCTCCCTCTCTGTCTGCCCCTCCCCCGTTCATGCTCTGTCTCTCTCTGTCCCAAAAAAATAAATAAACGTTAAAAAAAAAAAAACACACACACACACACACAAAAAAAGTCTTCCTTTCACCTGATCAACTACCTGGTTTCCCTTTTCAGGAATCATTAATAAGTTCTTGTGTATGCTTCCAGAGATACTTTATACAAATAGACAAGAGTATGAATATATATTCTTAAAGTTCTCACCTTCCTCTCTTTTTTTTTTTTACACATAAAGTAGTATAACTTTCACACTATTAATTTTTTTTTTTTTTTTTGAAGGAGAGAGAGAGAGGCAGAGCATGAGCGGGGGAGGAGCAGAGAGAAAGGGAGACACAGAATTCGAAGCAGGCTCCAGGCTCTAAACTGGCAGCACAGAGCCTGACACGGGGCTCAAATTCACAAACTGTGAGATCATGACCTGAGCTGAAGTCGGACGCTTAACCGACTGAGCCACCCAGGCGCCCCAACACACTATTCTATACTTCATTGTTTTTATTCAGTTTATCTTAGAGTCTATTCCATTTGGTTCAGAGAGTTTTTCTCATTTTCTTTTAAATTATGTGTATTAAATCATTTACAGCAATACTAGTGCCTTATTTTTGTACATTTTATGTATTTAAAAATGTTTCATTGTTTTTCTAATTAGAAAGTTTTTGTATATTTAGAATATTTCAAAAATATAGAAAATAGATATAGAAAAAATAGAACTCATATTATCCTTCATTCAAAAAAACCACTGTGATGATTTATTGTTTTTAAAAGTGCTTTTTTTGGGGTGCCTGGGTGGCTCAGTTGGTTAAGCGTCTGACTTCGGCTCAGGTCATGATCTCACAGTCCGTGAGTCCGAGCCCCACTTCAGGCTCTGTCTCTCTCTCTCTCTCTGTCATTTTTTTTTTTAATGTTTATTTCTGAGAGACAGAGATAGCACATGAGCAGGGGAGGGGCAGAGAGAGAGGGAGAGACAGAATCCAAAGCAGGCTCGTGCTGTTCTTGAAAAACTCAAGTTGTTTACCTAAGAATATTATATTTATTTATTTATTTTTAAATGTTTATTTTTGAGACAGAGACAGAGTGTAGTGGGGTAGGGGTAGAGAGAGACACACACAGAATCCAAAGCAGGCTCCAGGCTCTAGGCTCTGAGCTGTCAGCACAGAGCCTGACGCGGGGCTCGAACTCACAAACCGTGAGATCATAACCTGAGCCAAAGTTGGACGCTTAACTGACTGAGCCACCCAGGTGCCCCAAGAATGATTATATTTAAAAATGATTCAGGGTGCCTGGGTGGCTCAGTCCATTAAGCGTCCGACTTCAGCTCAGGTCATGATCTCACGGTCCATGAGTTCAAGCCCCTTGTCAGGCTCTGTGCTGACAGCTCAGAGCCTGGAGCCTGCTTTGGATTCTGTCTCTCCCCCCCTTTCTGCCCCTCCCCTGCTCATGCTCTATCTCTCTCTGTCTCAAAAATAAATAAAAACATTAAAAATGATTCAATATGAATGAAAAAACATTTTTCTTGTTTCACCAGTTAAGCTAAAATACCAACATTTATTTCTGAGGCTGGTATAAAAAGTGCTGAAATCTACTATAGATTTTATTTTAATATATACAGCATATCATGTCTTATTAAAGTTTGAGATGGTAGAATCAAGGCATTGATAAATAGACTCAATAAAATGTACAGTAATGTTCAGTCTTGATCAGTTTAAATAAAAATGCAAAAAACCAAGTTGTTCATGTGGCATAACATGACTTTCAACTATATCTTTGAAAGTCAGGGTGTTTGCTCAGCTGCAGGTTGACCAGGTACCTGATGTGTATGTGGTATTCACAGTTCTCAAACTATAGGTGACTTTAGAGGTCTCTAAGTTATTATGAAAGTGGATAGGGGAAACTGAATGAGGTTTGTGTTGGAGACCACTGTGTAAGCGTCATTAAGCCACTTATAAAGTAGATATATATATTTTTATTTTTAATTTTTTTTTCAACGTTTTTTATTTATTTTTGGGACAGAGAGAGACAGAGCATGAACGGGGGAGGGGCAGAGAGAGAGGGAGACACAGAATCGGAAACAGGCTCCAGGCTCTGAGCCATCAGCCCAGAGCCCGATGCGGGGCTCGAACTCACGGACCGCGAGATCGTGACCTGGCTGAAGTCGGACGCTTAACCGACTGCGCCACCCAGGCGCCCCAACCACTTATAAAGTAGATATTTAAAGTTCATCCATTAAAAAATAATTTTGAATTTAGTTTTAACAATATTTGATGATCTTTGTGTGGAATCCATTTCTAAGGATTATAAGTTAAATGTAAGAAGGACTCTGAGAAGACAACAAAAGTAATGAGCAGCGTAAAATGTAATTTTAACAGAAGTGATTACTTTTCTATAGTCTTTATTGCTGTCCTAGGCAAATGAAGTTATCCAACTTAATGAAATTTCCTACACCCAAAAATTCAGGGCTGTTAACTAACCAGAATTGAAATAAAAACTTAAAAAAAAAACACCAAAAACAAGGAAAAGAAGGATTAGTTAACCTTCAAAAAAAAAAAAAAATTCAGCGCAATTAGTACTTGTTAGTCAACACATTAAGTCCAGGATAACATACTTTTTTTGCCTTTGTGAGTTTGTGTGATTTGAATGAGTTTTTTCTTTATTAATTTCAGCAGCACAGTCAGCAGTCTCCATTCAAGAGTTGACTCATTAGAAAAGTCAAATACTAAGCTGATTGAAGAGGTATTGTAATCCAGCCGTGGATAATTGTCTTTCATGGACCTAGTATTTGTGAACCTTTTCCATTTTAAGTATGAATATATTAAGCATGTGCATGCGCACAGGCACATTTTCATCATTATGATGGAGTATTTGCAATATTGTTGTAATTGATGATTAGAAGTTCTAGAGAAATCACATATTCTCAGGCAAATTCTCAGGTGAATCTGTGAGATACTCCTAGAAATTAGCTCCAAAGATGACACTCCTATAAGCTCTTCTATAAATAAATGTTTCTCATTATAAAATCTGGATGACCTGTATGTAGATAGTGACTCACCTATAGTTTGAAATTTCTGTTAAAATGATACTGTCCTTCTTGTTGTACTATTCAGATTCCTTTTCTTTACAAGCACCACTACATGATCATGTCCACCCTTTCTCTACCCCCCCCAAGTGTAAAACTCATCCCATATGTTCTGGTTTCCTGTGTTGTCAAAGTGGCTATCTGGTAGTCCCAGACCAGAAATTTGCTCTCTTTTTAATACTGTTTGTAAAGTTACTTTAAGATAAGTTCTTTTTTTTTTTTTAAATCTATCAAATCACAGAGTTACTGCTTTGTATTTTCCGAATGATTTAGGCTAAGAGGATGAAATCTGTTACGAGTGCTATGAACCCTACTTTCTATGTTAATTAAAATTGTTAGTTTAGAAGTGGCCTCATTTTTCCAAATCAGAGAGCACATGATTATTTACATGATTGCAGTTTAGAATGCATCTTTGTTTTGATGGTTTGGGACCATTTGATAGTTTTTTCTTTAAATCATAAGTATACTGTTTAATCCCTATCACCTGTTTTGTCCTCCCCCCCCCCACCCACTTTCGCTCTGGTAACCATCAGTTTGTTCTTTCTATAGTTAAGAGTCTGTTTCTTGATTTCTCTGTTGTTTTTTTTTTTCTTTGCTCATTTGTTTCTTAAATTCCACATGAATGAGATCATACTGTATTTGTCTTTCTCTGACTGACTTATTTTGCTTAGCATTATACTCTGGCTCTATCCATCATGTCATTGCAAATTGCAAGATTTCATTCTTTTTTATGACTGAATAATACTCCATTGTATATATTATACTACAACTTTAAAAAAAATTTTTTTTTTTATTTAAAAAAAATTTTTTTTTCAACGTTTTTTATTTATTTTTGGGACAGAGAGAGACAGAGCATGAACGGGGGAGGGGCAGAGAGAGAGGGAGACACAGAATTGGAAACAGGCTCCAGGCTCTGAGCCATCAGCCCAGAGCCCGACGCAGGGCTCGAACTCACGGACCGCGAGATGGTGACCTGGCTGAAGTCGGACGCTTAACCGACTGCGCCACCCAGGCGCCCCCAAAAAATTTTTTTTTAGTGTTTACTTATTTGAGAGATAGACAGAGACTGAGCATGAATGGGGGAGGGGCAGAGAGAGAGGGAGACACAGAATCTGAAGCAGGCTCCAAGCTCCGAGCTGTCAGCACAGAGCCCAGCGTGGGGCTTCAACTCATAAACTGCAAGATCATGACCTGAGCAGAAGTTGGATGCTTAACTGACTGAGCCACCGAGGCACCCCCATATACCACAACTCTTTTATCCATTCGTCAGTCAGTGGATACTTGGGCCACCTCCATAGTTTGGCTATTGTAAATAATGCTGCAATAACCATAGGGATGCATGTATCTCTGAAGTAGTATTTTTGTATTTTTTCTAGTAAATGCCCGGTAATGTGATTACTAGATGGTAGGGTAGTTCTATTTTTAAGTTTTTCAGGAACCTGCATACTATTTTCCCCAGTGGCTGAGCCAGTTTATATTCCTACCAACAGTGCCTGAGGCTTCCTTTTTCTCCACATCCTTGTAAACACCTGTTGTTTCTTGTGTTTTTTATTTTAGCCATTCTTACAGGTGATTTTAGCCATCGTGGTTTTGATTTGCACTTCCCTGATGATCAGTGATGTTGAGCATCTTTTCACATTTGTTGGCCATCAGCACCATTTGATAGATAGATGGGGACCATTAGAGAGAGCTGCTCACTAGTTTGTGCCTCTTCTTGGCCTTAGGCGCACTCTAAAGTTCAAGTTATATCCCTGATGAAGTGTTCAGAAATTTATGTGCAAGCCAACATTAGGGGTAGGCCCTGCTTTCCTTTCCTGGAATCCCTCTTTTCATTCTAGGCTTCAGAGCCAAGCCACTCAGTCATTCATGGTTACCTCTGATGTTGAGAAATGTGTCATATTTGTGATGGTCACTCAGTATTATTCCTGTATTTCAGAGAGTGTCCTATTTGGTTATTGTGAAGGTCTGTATCACATTTTCAGTGATCGCACAGCCTTCTTTCCTTATAGATCTTGTCTTTACACAGATCTTTACAGTCTTATTGTTTCCTGGCACTTTGTATTCAGAAAATATTATAAATCAGATAAGCATAATATATTTTAACTAACATATTTTGACTAATAAAAGGAAATAGTAGAAATAAGAGTATAATTTTTTTACTGGTATCTTGGGATAATAGCGTATTTTTCTTATGAAAACTTCTGTACATGTGAGACATTTGACTAGTTTTAGGATTTTATATTTTGTTGTTTATAGCCATGAACATAACCTGTAAAGCAAGTATAAGTAATGGTGTTTAAATTCTTTTTCTTGCCCTGTTTTGTAATTTTTAGTTAGCAATAGCAAAGAATAATATCATTAAACTCCAAGAAGAAAATCATCAATTACGAAGTGAAAATAAATTGATTTTAATGAAAACACAGCAGAACCTAGAGGTAAGTATAGACTGATTACAAACAGACCATCTTATGTCAGAAATTGCCACTTTGGAGGACTTGTGCATAGACTGGATATTTATTTCTGTGCTGTATTAATAGTAGTGATTAAATAGTAAAAACTTATGTTTTATTTCTAGGTTACCAAAGTAGATGTGGAAACTGAGCTTCAAACATATAAGCATTCTCGGCAGGGGCTTGATGAAATGTACAACGAGGCCAGAAGGCAGCTTCGAGATGAATCTCAGTTAAGACAGGTAGGTATTATTAGCAAAAATAATAATAATCATAATAATTTGCCCTTAAGCAAGTACCATTTAAAATCTCTTCTTTAACCTTATCTTCTTGGTGTGGGATAGAAATCTCACCAGCTTGCAACTCCCTCAAGTTCTTTTAAGTTCCTACTTTATCAATTGTTTTTTAAAGTGTTTTTAAAAATTTTTTTTTTTTTAATTTTTTTTTCAACGTTTTTATTTATTTTTGGGACAGAGAGAGACAGAGCATGAACGGGGGAGGGGCAGAGAGAGAGGGAGACACAGAATCGGAAACAGGCTCCAGGCTCCGAGCCATCAGCCCAGAGCCTGACGCGGGGCTCGAACTCACGGACCGCGAGATCGTGACCTGGCTGAAGTCGGACGCTTAACCGACTGCGCCACCCAGGCGCCCCTTAAAATTTTTTTAAAGTTTATTTATTTTGAGAGATAGAGTGAGCAGGGGAGGGCAGAGAGAGTGGGAGAGAGAGAGAATCCTAAGCAGGCTCTGTGCTGATAGTGCAGAACCTGATGTATGGCTTGAACTCATGAACTGTGAGATCGTGACCTGAGCCAAAACCAAGAGTCAGACACTTAACTGACAGAGCCACCCAGGTACCCCTTTAAAGTGTTTTTAAACTGTGAAATGAGTGGATTGAGTGAAATGAGTGAAACCATATTAAAGTTTTTATTTATTTATTAAAAAGTTTTTTTGTTTAATGTTTATTTTTGAGAGAGCATGAGTCGGGGAGAGGCAAAGAGAGAGGGAGACAGAGAATCTGAAGCAGGCTTCTTGGTGAGAGCAAAGCCTGACGTGGGGCTTGAACCCACAAACTGTGAGATCATGACCTGAGCCCAAGTCAGATGCTTAACTAAGCCACCCAGGCGCCGAAAGTTTTTATTTATTTATATATTTATATATTTATTTGAGAGAGAGCACCAGTGGGGAGGGGAAAGAGAGAGAAGGAGACAGAATCTCTAGCAGGTTCCACACTGTCCCCACAGAGCCCCAGGCAGGGCTCAAACCTATGAACCGTGGGATCATGACACGAGCTGAAATCAAGAGTCAAGCTTAATGGACTGAGCCACCCAGGCACCCCAGTAAAATCGTGTTTAAAATTAACTTATTTTGGGAGCACCTGGCTGGCTCATTCGGTAGAATGTGCGACTCTTGATCTTGGGGTCATGAGTTCAAGCCCCATGTTTGGCATAGAGGTTACTTTTAAAAAATTAACTTATTTTTTAACCTTTTAAATTGTTCTAATATCTATAGAAAAATACAAATGTACACCTTAATGGGTAATAACATTAATACCTATGTAATCACCACCCAGGTCAAGAAAAGAGTATTGCCAGCCTTTCTATCCCTTTTGCTATATATCTGTTATGCTATTTATTTATATTAGGAAACTTCTTTTCATTCTGATTTAATTTCTTCAAGAATTTTATAACTATGAGGTGGGATTTTTGAGTTATCTTTGGCCTTCACTTGTGCTGACTACTTTTTTTCTTTGAGGAAAATTAATACCGAATTAATGAGGCATAAAAATACTTAATTCTTGAATTAGTAGAATAATGATAATTAACAGAATCTAGAAAATACTTTCATTTTAGCAAAATATGCAGTTGAAAATATTTGGAATTTTATGTTGTTATAGGACCTGGTTGATTCCCTTTAGTGGGGCTTATACTTCAGAAGAGTACTGTGCATATTGAATAGAAAATCTTTTGTGTTCTTATTAACTGTTGTGTATCCGATTTTTGACATCCTGAAGTGGTGTGTGAATTGAATATATATTGAAATTGCAGGATGTGGAGAATGAGCTAGCAGTACAAGTTAGTATGAAACATGAGATTGAACTTGCCATGAAGTTGTTGGAGAAAGATATCCATGAGAAACAAGATACTCTGATAGGCCTTCGGCAACAACTAGAGGAAGTTAAATCAATTAACATAGAGATGTATCAAAAGTTGCAGGTAAGGATCATTCTTAAATTCTTGGAATTTCTTGAGTTGAATGGAAATTGAAAATGACTATTTGTATGAAGCATCTGGTTTTTAAAGGGATGAGTCATTTTAACTGTGCCATATTGGTAATCAAAACCAGTGACTTTTTTTCTAAATGGAAGCTTAAGAAATAGAGCAGACTATTTCTTAAGTAAGGTATCAACAAAAAAATCACCTACCTGATTTCCTTTTAAATGCTGAAAGGTTAAGTATGAAGATTAAATCTTTTGGGAAAATTCACCCTAAATATGCAGGACATTTTTGTGAATTCTTTATACAGTATAGTCCTGAGAAAGGTTTAGATTTTTTTAAAAGATTTTATTTTTTTAGGTAATCCCTACACCTGATATGGGGCTCATACCTACAACCCCAAGATCAGAGTCACATGGTCTACTGACTGAGCCAGCCAAGGGCCCCAAGAAAGATTTAATTTTAATTGAAATGCTTTCCTACAATAATTGTTACAAATTCTCTCATAAAGGGACATCACTGTTTAAGTAGTTTGGTGCCAAAAGCTCTTTATATTTAATTTGAAATACTTTACATTGAAACTATTTTACATAGTTTACAAGAGTTTATTTTGTTGTTTTCCAAAAAAAACACTGAAGGCAAAGTGTGTGTGTGTGTGTGTGTGTGTGTGTGTGTGTGTTTCTTTATTACATTTTAATTGCAGACAAGTAGTCTACTGCTTTACTTTATATCATAGGAGTATTTTGATCTACAGAATAACTGTTCATTTCAAAGTAAAAATTCCATAGTGAAATGGTATACAAAACTTAAAAGTATTCAGGTTGAAAATCAAAGCCACTATAGTTTTTCTTTTTTCTAAATAGAGTTCTGAAGATGGCTTGAAAGAAAAAAATGAAATAATTGCCCGACTAGAAGAAAAAACCAATAAAATTACTGTAGCTATGAGGCAGCTGGAACAAAGGTACAGAACCTCCAGTCTTAGTTTCTTTTTTTCCTTTTTTTCTCCCTTTTCTTTATTCAACTCTGACACCTGCCACAAAAACCATTAGGAAAATTTAGTTTAGGACCTTCCCCCTCACTCCCCCAGTAGGATTTTGCCTTTTTTGTTTTGGTTGTTGCATGGAATCAAGTTGCTTTATATTAGGCTGATTCATTTGAATTTACCATTTTGTGGATTTTCATAAAAAGGTCTGATATTGACAATTTCATGTGGTTCAATTTATTACATAAAACAAATACACAAGCAAAAACTTAAAAAAAGTGAAAAACGAACAAAATCTATGGTGGAATTATCCCTGATTGATTTCCATGCATATTGATTGTCATATCTTTTGTCATTCACCATCTCTATCTGAAATTAGGCCTTGAGTTTGCAGTTTAGTGTGTTTCTTTGAGCTAGGACCCTCAACTGAAACCAAGAAATAATTTTATTTAAATTGAATTGTTTTATATTGGCATTTTTCACTTTTATTGTTGGAAAATGTAATGTATTTCCATTGATCTGTCATGTTGGTGTCAACATATGTCTTATCATTGCTTTCTTTGAATCTACTTATGAAAAACATAACTATTAATGCTTTATTGACATGAATATTCTTTTATTGACATCCTCTTTCTTCTTTTTTCTTTTTTGTTTTCTTTATCCCCATTTTTACATTTTGGACATCTTTATTACCTTTTTCTGTCTTTGATTTCTGTCCATTCCATTATGAAGTGACAATGATTTGTTAACTCAAACTAGGACAATTGCAATGTCATTGGTGAAATATGCCAGCAGTGACACTCAAGACCAGTACAAGCTGGTCAAAGATATATCTTTCTGAAAACCACTTGTATTTAAACAGACTAAAAGAGAATCAACAATTTTATAATATATTAAATAGAAAATAATTTATGCTATTAAGTATTTGAAAAGGGTATTAGGAACCCTATACACTTCTTGATCAGCTGCTATGGTAATACACTGCCATAAAGCAGAGTGGGTGCACTTGGATTTCCAAAAACACATTCCTCAAACCTTGTGCACAAAGGCTGATTTGAGTATTGACCTTTTGGAGGTCAGGATTTTCAAGTGCAGTTTTATCTTTTTAGCTACTTTTTGATGGAAAATATAAACATTGTTTCAAAATAAGTTAACCTTTGGTTTCACAATGTGTTGGCACAAATTTTTTCCCTCTTGGCCTAATGGCTTCTGATTTTTAAATATGTTTTAAAATAGTTTACAACCCAGATTGGCCATTCTCTTGTGCTTTAGCAGCTCAGTTTTCCAGTTCCCTTAGCCCTCTTCGATGATAGCACAACTTCAAGCCCTACCTCACTCTGAGTTTTATTTCGGTTTCTGTAATCTTAGAGAAATGTGCCCTATCCCCTCACCTTAATGTTTTAAATTCAGATTTAGAGATAACTTGAATGTTACTCTCATTTGCTTAGAAGTGGCATTTATACTTCTAAAATGTGTCAGGGTTGCCCCATTGGTATGGTTTTAGGAAGAAAAGAGGCAATTTTTTGGCTAGTCGAATAGAAATTTTACCTGTGATCCCCTACAAGGAGTTAATGTCTCTTGAATATGTGGGAAATGTTTTCTTATAAAAATATCAAAGTTAAATCTAAGAAATCCTAGATGGGAGGCAGGGAGTGGAGCTAAGCACAGTGAGAACCAATGACTTAAAATAAAAACAGCAAATGAAAGTCACATTTTTAGCTAATTTTTAAATGTCAGTGATGAACAAAAATGATCTCTAGAGAATGTTGCCAACTAATACCATATTCCTTTGAATCTTAACACGCACATGTGCATACACACACAGAGCTTTTGGCATAATTTAGTAAATGCATAAAGATCCTACAGGGAGGACTTGGCTGTTATTTGAAGTAATTGCAGGTCTTTGCTCTTGGCCTTGTAGCACACTTGATTCCTGGCATACACATCCTAGCATAGTAAATAACAAATGTGGCTTCTTCACCTAGTGTAGACATAAATACTGTGCTTTACATGGTTTTGTAAAAAGGCAGTAATGCACCTATTATACTTTCAAAGTTGATTCATAATGCTCTACATAAGTGGTAAAGGCTGTATTGCTTTGCATTGTTAATTATGAACAAGAAATAAAACAAATTTGAAGATAGTATTCTGGGCATATTATATGTTATGTTGAAAAAAAAAATCACAAAACAATTTCTAGACATTGTGTGGCTCTTTCACGTTTGAGTTTGTGAGTTTCCCCCCAAACTTTGTTTTCATTTAGAAATGTTTCTATTTCCCCATTTTTCTTTTATTTGTCTTCTTCACCCTTTTACACCCTAGTTCTAGCCTCAGTTTTACCCAAAGTTGATTTGAATTACACCAGATTGCAGCAAGCAGAGAAGGCGCAAATGGAAGCTGAAGATGAAGACAAGAAATATCTACAAGAGTGTCAGAGTAAATCCGACAGTCTGCAGAAACAAATCTCCCAAAAGGAGAAACAGCTGTGAGTATTTCACTCTTGGAAACAAATACTTGTATTAACATAATTTCCACTGCCCCTTTTTTGCACATCAAGATAGGATACCTATATTTTCGTTTAGTTAATGATTACAGCTAGATTGTGGAGTTCTCCTTGGGAAAAAAAAAGTTAGAAAACATAATTATGATAAAACCTATGTTTCCAGATACTGAGTGTAATAGGCCTTTATAACTCAAAGGAACTTATATTGTCATAGAACATGATGTTTTATGAGAATATTTTTATTAGTACTTCATATGATAGATCTGTATATCACCAACTAGGAAGGATGTCAGTATATGTCATTGGACTGAAGAAAAAAACAAGTTGCAGATAGTATGTGAAATATCCCATTTTTTATAAAATTAAAACCATGTACATGTGTATATTTACATATACATAGAAAAGAGTTCAGGGGCGCCTGGGTGGCTCAGTCGGTTAAGCGGCCGACTTCGGCTCAGGTCACGATCTCACAGTCCGTGAGTTTGAGCCCTGCGTCGGGCTCTGTGCTGACAGCTCAGAGCCTGGAGCCTGTTTCAGATTCTGTGTCTCCCTTTCTCTCTGCCCCTCCCCTGTTCATGCTCTGTCTCTCTCTGTCTCAAAAATAAATAAATGTTAAAAAAAAAAAAAGTTCAAAGAATTCAGATTCACTCAGGGGAGTGATGGCAGATTAACAGGGGTATTTTAGTTTTTACTTTATAAACATCAGTATTTATTCCCCAGTAAGTATGTGGGGAAAAATTAACAATAATAGGAAATAGTTATGTATCATATTTAATAGATCATTAAGACTACATGCCATTTATGATGTGTAACTTGCTAAGCTGCAGGATTCAGTGATTGAAGTGATAAGTTCTTCCTCTAGTCTTGCTCATTTTCTAATAGTTCTGTCAGTTATCGAGAGGGCATTTCTTGAATATCCCATCTATTATTGTAGATTTGTGTATTTCTACTTTTAGTTCTATCAGTTTTGCTTCTTGTATTCTGATTCTGTTTGGTGCCAACACATTTAGGATTGCTGTGTCTTTTTGGCGAATTAATCTTTTTATCATTTTGTGATATGCCTCCTTGTCTCTGATAATTTTCTTTACAGGATATTAATAGAGCCACAGCTGCTTTCTTTTGGTTAATGTCATGTAGTAAACAAAAAATTAATGTTTGCATTTTTCAGTCTTTAAACTTTTGGTCTAATATTTATTATTACCAGTATATTTGAAGTAAGTTTCTCATAGTTCACGTTTTTTATCTGTTCTGACAATCTTTTTTTTTTTTAAGTTTATTTTTGAGAGAGAGAGAGCATGCACATGTACAAGTAGAGAGGGGCAGAGAGATAATCCCAAGCAGGGTCCACAGTATCAGTGTAGAGCCAGACACAGGGCTTGATCCCATAAACTGTGAGATTATGACCTGAGCCAAAGTCAAGAGTTGGGTGCTTAGCCGACTGAGCCACCCAGGTGCCCCCTAACAGTCTGTTTTAATGATGTATTTAGTCCATTTACATTTAGTGTAATTGTTGATATGAGAGCTTAAGTCTACTATTTTATTGTTTTTTTTCTCATTCCTTTATTTCATTTTTCCTGCCTTCTCATGGGTTGAATATAACTTAGAATTCCTATTTATCTCTAGTGTTTTTAAGTATATTCCTTTGTATAGATATTCTAGTGATTGCTCTCCTTTCTTGTATGTTTGCAGCTTTTCACAGTCTACTGGTGTTTTACTACTTTGAATGAAGTGTGGAAGTCTTACCTCCACTTGTATCTTTTTATTCACTCCCCTTTATGAATTTTTTTTTTTTTGAGAGAGAGAGCAGTGAGAGAGGGAGACACAGAATCTGAGAGAGGCCCCAGGCTCTGAGCTGTCAGCACAGAGCCGAATGCGGGGCTCAAACCCATGAACCGTGAGATCATGACCTGAGACAAAATTGGACGCTCAACTGACTGAGCCACCCAGGTGCCCCTATCCACTCCCCTTCATAACATAAGTTGCTTCAATATTTTCCCTGAATAATATTGAGAACCACATCAGACAGTATTAGAAAGTTTTTATTAATTTTTTTAAGTAAACTCAGCCCAGCATGGGGTTTGAAGTCACAACTCTGAGATCAAGAGTTGCATCCTCTACAGCGGAGCTAGCCAGGTGCCCCTACATCAGACAATATTATAGTTTGTGCTTCAACCCTGAAACAATTCAGAAAACTCTTTGTTATTTCTTCTTCACTCTTGATATTTTAAGTTTTCTTCTTTGTGTCTGGAGAACTTCTTTTGCCATTCTTTTTAGGGTAGGTCTATTGGCAGCAAATTCTCTTAGTTGTTTTGTTTCCTCCCATCTGCAGTCTTGATTTCACCTTCATTTCTTTTTTTTTTTTTTTTTTTTATTTCTTTTTTTAATTTGCATTCAAGTTAGCATATAGTGCAACAATGATTTCAGGGGTAGATTCCTTAATGCCCCTTACCCATTTAGCCCATCCCCCCTCCCATGACTCCTCTAGTAACTCTGTTTGTTCTCCATATTTAGGACTCTCTTATGTTTTTGTCCCCCTCCCTGTTTTTATATTATTTTTGCCTCGCTTCCCTTATGTTCATCTATTTTGTATCTTAAAGTCATAATATGAGTGAAGTCATATGATGTTTGTCTTTCTCCGACTAATTTCACTTAGCATAATACCGTCTAGTTCCATCCATGTAGCTGTGTTTGGCAAGATTTCATTCTTTTTGATTGCCAAGTAATACTCCATTGTGTGTATATATACCACACCTTCTTTATCCATTCATCCATCGATGGGCATTTGGGCTCTTTCTATACTTTGGCTATTGTTGATAGTGCTGCTACAAACATTGGGGTGCATATGTCCCTTCCAAACAGGACACGTGTATCCCTTGGATAAATACCTAGTAGTACAATTGCTGGGTCATAGGGTAGTTCTATTTTTAATTTTTTGAGGAACCTCCATACTGTCTTCCAGAGTGGCTGCACTAGTTTGCATTCCCACCAGCAGTGCAAAAGAGATCCTCTTTCTCTGCATCCTCACCAACATCTGTTGTTGCTTGAGTTGTTAATGTTAGCCATTGTGACAGGTGTGAGATGGTATCTCATTGTGGTTTTCATTTGTATTTCCCTGAGGATGAGTGATGTTGAGCACTGTTTTATGTGTCGGTTGGTCATCTGGATGTCTTCTTTGGAGAAGTGTATATTCATTTCTTTCGCCCATTTCTTCACTGGATTATTTGCTTTTTGGGTGTTGAGTTTGAGAAGTTCTTTATAGATTTTGGATACTAACTCTTTGTCTGATATGTCATTTGTAAATATCTTCTCCCATTCTGTCAGTTGCCTTTTAGTTTTACTGTTTGTTTCCTTCGCTGTGCAGAAGCTTTTTATTTTGATGAGGTCCCAATAGTTCATTTTTGCTTTTGTTTCCCTGCCTCTGGAGATGTGTTGAGTACGAAGTTGCTGGAGCCAAGGTCAAAGAGGTTTTTGCCTGCTTTCTCCTGGAGAATTTTTATGGCTTTCTGTCTTACATTGAGGTCTTTCATCCATTTTGAGTTTATTTTTGTGTATGGTGTAAGAAAGTGGTCCAGGTTCATTTTTCTGCATGTCGCTGTCCAGTTTTCCCAGCACCATTTGCTGAAGAGACTGTCTTTATTCCATTGGAGTCTTTCCTGCTTTGTCAAAGATTAGTTGGTCATACGTTTGTGGGTCCATTTTTGGAACCATTTTGGTTCTCTATTCTGTTCCATTTATCTGAGTGTCTGTTTTTGTGCCCATACCATACTGTCTTGATGATTACAGCTTTATAATACAGCTTGAAGTCCGTTAGCTTCATTTCTGAAGGATATTTTCAGAATATCCTTAGAATTCCAAATTGACAGTTCTTTTCTTTCAGCACTTAAAAAGGGTTGAATATTTTCTTTGGTCTTCATAGTTTCTGATGGAAAACACTGTCATTTGAATCCTTGTTCCTTTACCCAAGATTATTTTCTTTTGGATTTATCCTTTTTGGGCTTTGGTCATCTTTGTGTGTGTGTGTGTGTGTTTGAGACAGAGGCAGAGAATGAGCAGGGGAGGGGCAGAGAGAGGGGGAGACACAGAATCCAAAGCAGGCTGCAGGCTCTGAGCTGTAAGCACAGAGCCCAGGGTGAGGCTTGAACTCGTGAACTGCGAGATCAGGACCTGAGCCGAAGTCTGACACTCAACTGATTGACCACCCAGGCGCCCCATGGTCATCTTCTTGATACTACACTTTATCTTAGCTAAAAGGATTAGCTAAAAGGACAAGAAGCGATTGGTCAGCTTGTTGAATCTTTAGGTTTATCTTTGACAAATTTGGAAATTTTTAGGCATCTTTTTTCCTACATACATTTTCCAGTCCACCTGCTTTCTCTTCTCTGGAATTCTGATAACATTGAATGTTAGAATTTTTTTTTTTTTTTTTTTATGGTCCTGTAAGTTTCCAGTCTATTTTTTCTTTCTTGTTCAAATTGGGTAATTTCTATTGTAGTGTTGTGTGTTTTGTTTCTCATTTTTAAGTAGGCTCCATGCTCAACATGGGGCTTGAACTCATGACCCTGAGATCAAGAATTGCTTGTTCTACTGACTGAGCTGGCTGGGCACCCCTCTACGGTAATGTTTTGAAATCCATTCTTTTATCATCATCTTCATTCTACTGAGCCATTTAGGGTGGTTATTGTAGTTTTCAGTTCTAAGATTTTCATTTGAGTGTATTTTCTTCCTCCTTTCTTTTTTTGCTAAAGCTTCCTGTTTTGTTTCAGGTATGTTTTTAATTGGTCATAGGAGCATTTTTATGATGACTGCTTTGAAATTCTTGTCTAGAATTATCTGACATGGTGGCATCTGTTTTTTCTCATCGAAGTTGGGATTTTTCTTGGGTCTTGTTATGACAAATTTTTTTCAATTGCATTCTGGATGTCTTGAGAATTATGAGACTGCATCTAATTTAATTTTACATTTGAGCAGTTCTCCCCTGAAACCACACCAGCAGGGAGAAATATAGACACTGACTCTTTATACCAAGTGAGTATAGCAGAAGCCTAGGACCATTCTGGATGGGATACAGAAGGGTGCCTAACTATGGGGCAAGAATTGAAATCTATGCTTTCCACTTACTCTCCACTGACACAGTGGAGGAGAGGAGTTGTGTCTTGTTACCATCAAGTAGGAGTGGAAGTCCAGGCTTTCCTCTTGGTCTCTGCTGATAACATCCTGGAGGGGGAGAGTTAGAGGTATCTCATTACACTGGGCAGGGGTTGAAATTTAGGTTTTTCACTTGGCTTTCACTTACCCTGTGGCAAAAGTGAGAAATGCCTTGTTACTGATGTAGGGATAAAAGTCCAGGTTCCCCATATAGTCTCCACTAATATAAGGGTGGTAGACATCTCATTACTGTTGAGTGGTAGTGAAAGTCCAGGCTCCCCACTTAGCTTTTGCTGACAGTGGTTGGGGGCCTATGGTTTTCTCCACCTTCCACCTGCTCCAGGGTGGTATTGTCACAGAGTAAATACAGTTTCTAATACTTTAGAAACAGGGTATGTATTGTCACAAAGGTTTCTATCATGCTAGGCTACCTCTTCCCGGTACTTTAGCAAGAGAGAGGAGGCTTTTCTTGGGGCGTTTTTTTTGTAATCATTTTTTTAAAGTTCCTTTTAACCTACTACAAAAATAACATTTTTCTTATTCTGTAGAATAAGGTTTTAGGCCAAGGAGTATCACCTTAGTTGAAAACTTGCATCATTTGTACATTATAAAACTAAAACCCATCCCCCAAAACAAAAACACTCAGTAAACAAACATTTTCTGTTAATTTTAATACTTCCCTAAAAGGATAGCTAGCATTTTCAAGGCTCCCTTGGCAACAAAAATCACAAGAAGCATTTAATTCATCAGGTTTCTTTCTTTCTTTTTTTTTTTTTTAAATGTTTATTTACTTTTGAGAGAGAGAGAGAGAGACGGAGCTCAGAGCTCAAGCAGGGGAGGGGCAGAGAGACACAGAATCCGAAGCAGGCTCCAAGCTCTGAGCTGTCAGCACAGAGCCCAACGCCAGCTCAAACCCATGGACTGTGAGATCATGACCTGAACTGAAGTCGGATGCTCAACTGACTTAGCCACCCAGGAGCCCCTAAGTCATCAGGTTTTTTAATGATGTGAAATGTTTTGTTGTTTAAGCCTGTGCCCTACCAAATGAAAAACATGAAAAGCAAGACTGGAACACTTTTGCCAGTCACTAGAATACAGTTTTAAAACCCTGGTACTCTGTGTTACTGAATCACTTAGACAAATCTGATATTTATCTGCATTGATGCAGCTATTCCTTGACCAAAGGATGATCCAGTTAACACTGTAGGGACCTGGCCCTTCCCTATAGGGCTAACCTATTCAATAAGTCTTGGGTACAACTGTAGAGAGAAGATGTTTGTTTCTGCTGAAGCCATGAAAGTAGGTTTGTCTCTCAGTTGGTGACATTTTTGTAGAGTATGAACATGTGAACATGTGACATTTTGGTAGAGTATGAACATGTGAACAATTTGGTATAGTATGAACATGTGAACAATTTGATTCTCCCTGATGGCTTAAAAAATTGAAATGGTTTCTGTAGAAATGGGCAGCTGGGACTATGTCCAAGAAAAACAAATTCCCATTTTGGAGAAGTAACTTTATTGATTTCTGATTATGAAAATATTACATGCTGTTGGTTAAATGTAAGAAAATATAGAAAAATGTGAAGAAAATAAAAATTAGAGCGAACTTTTTTAACATTTGGTGAGTATCATTTTTTTCCGGTATGCATAGATGTTTTTTATGTTTTTTAGACAGAGGATCATGCTACATGCTCCTTAGTATTTTGTTTATTGCATTTACTATGTCATGGACATTGTATCATATCAATTAACGTAGGCCTATACCGTCATATCAGTTAACCTGAAGGAATCCTTTAGCCTGAAAAATTGTGCTTAATTCTTTGAATTTACATCTTTGAGTATTGGTGAGATCCTTTTATATATCTTTATTTTGTTAGTTACCAGCTCCTATCATCTACTTTTTTCCCTTGGGGTGTTCAGCTTATTAATATTTATTTGTAAGAGCCCTTAATGTATCGGGGCGCCTGGGTGGCTCAGTCAGTTAAGTGTCTGACTTCGGCTCAGGTCATGATCTCGTGGTTTGTGAGTTCGAGCCTCATGTCAGGCTTTGTGCTGAAAGACTGCTTTGGATTCTGTGTCTCCTTCTCTCTGCCCATCACCTGCTCACACTCTGTCTCTGTCTGTCTGTCTGTCTCCCTCTCTCAGAAGTAAATAAACCTTAAAAAACATTAAAAAAAAACTCTTTATGTATTTACTCTGGGTATTTCACAGACAGTGAAATGTTTTCTAAGTTTACTGTTTTTAAACTTTGTTCATAGTGGTTTTTTCATTTAGATATTAAAAATATTCATGTAGTTGTATTTTTCCTTTTTTCTTCCTTTATGGTTTCCAACTTTGGTGGTCAACATGTGTTTTGACAATATATTTATAATAACTTAAAATTTTTTTCCCTTTTTCTCTCAGTCTTTTTCTGATTCTGGATGATGAGGCCACTCTGTAGTTTAGTTACTTCACTTTTAGTAACATAAACCTGTTTCTGTATTCTTTTTTTTCCCTTTTAATTGATTTATCTATTTTTGAGAGAGTGAGAGTGGGGAGAGCAGAGAGAGAGAGAGAATCCCAAGCAGACTACACATTGCCAGTACGGAGCCTGATGCAGGGCTTGAACTCATGAACCATGAGATCATGACCTGAGCTGAAATCAAGAGTCGGACGCTTAACTGACTGAGCCATCCAGGCGTCCCTGTATTCTTTTCGAATGTATAGTGAAATAGTATTTATAACCAATTTGTAAATTCCATTTGGAGGTATCTCTTCTCTTCATCCTGAATTATAAAATCTGAAATTTATTTCACTGAGAAATAATGTGGCTGTAGATGGAAATGCTAACTTTATGAAGAAACAAAAGTAATCAAAATATTAACACAAGAATATTAAAATGATGTAATATTGTGATAGTGTCAATATTATGATACGTTGGAATTAAAATTTAAAGTATTAGAAACTGTAGCATTATCAGCATATGCCTCATCTGTAATACCTACTTATGAGCAATAATTTTCAAAATGATTTCTTTTCGGTATCCTAAAATGTAGGAGTTTGACTACTTTTGTTTTGCCAGCTAGTACCTATTAGAATGATGAGGTGGTGTTTCAGATGTGAATTGGCATTTCCAGGCAGTATGGATTTCCCCCCAGTGTCTCCTTAGTCTTAGATTTGTCTTGTAATTGGTCAGCTTTCAGCAGTAGTCTGTAAAGTAACACTTTGTATGAGGGTTGATTTTTCTGTGGCTGATGTTAAATTGCTTTAGTGGTGGCTGTACTTCTTATATCAGAAATATAGTTTGTTGTAAAATTTTCCCATGGCACAGAAATGTAAATAATTAAAACCTTACATTTTTCTCCTTGATTCCATTCCCCAGATGTAACTAGTTTTAATCGTGTGATATGCCCTTCCAGGCATTTTCTGTGTTCTTACAGTGCTTATGTTTACAGAATTGAAAAATGACATAAATTATTATTTAGCAAGGAGTTTTTGTGGTTGGCAAATAAGTTGATACCTTGGGATCAAAAAACCCTGTGCTGCTGAACTTATTTACCAAAAAATATTTATGAAAGAAAATACCTGAAGAAATGCACAAAAGTGAGAACAATCAACCAAAAAGATGCTGTTACTAAAGAGTACAAACAACTCTCGTGTGATAAATAGCACTAAGCTTCTGTGTATTTGTCATTCAAGGGTGCAACTGGAAACTGATTTGAAGATTGAGAAGGAATGGAGGCAGACTTTGCAGGAAGATCTTCAAAAGGAGAAAGATGCCTTATCTCATCTTAGAAATGAGACCCAGCAAATCATTAGTCTTAAAAAAGTAAATGGTGGTAAAACTTTTAAAAATTATATCTTTGAAAACTAAGTTACTTAAAAGGAGAAATCATAATTTATATTTATACCAAAGAGACAGAATATACTAGTCATCTTTAAAAATACCAATAAGAAGTGGCTCTTGGCTGACTCGGTTGGTAATATATGCAACTCTTGATCTTGGAGTTGTGAGTTTGAGCCCCACGTTGGTTGGAGAGTTTACTTAAAAAACACAAAACCAGTAAGGAGATTAAATGAATGTGAAATAGGTGATATTTGATGGAGCAGCGATGAAAGAACTTGGACATAGAGTTCTATTTTTTATAAAAAACTAAAGGATATGTGTTCCTAATTATTGGTATGTATACAATTTGGAGTTTCTTGTTTATTTCCTTTAAATTGCATTTTCTGTCTTTTTATTGTTTTGAAGGAGTTCCTTAACATCCAGGATGAAAATCAGCAGTTGAAAAAAGTACATCACGAACAGGAGCAAGCTCTTCAAGAACTTGGCAGCAAACTTAGCGAGTAATTTCTCCTTTTTTTCTTCATCTCTGTAATCATTGACTTGTATAAAGGTATGAATGAGTGTGCCAAACCAAATAGGAAGAAAAGTTTAAATGTAGAAAAGAAAGATATGAACTATTAAGGAAAATCAAAACCAAACAAAAACCTTAAGGATAAACATGCAAGACTGTGGATTGGAGGGATTTTGTTAAAAGTTGTGTTCAGTTTAGTAAATTTAGCTCTAAACATTTCCCGTAGATAAAAGTTAAGACTCTAATTTCTTCAAATTAGAGAATTCAGAAGTCCATTTAATATATTTTTCCCAGAAAAACAGAAACCAAATTTCCAAACTATCTGGAGAGATCTTCTTCAGACTGTTTTGAGAAGGAGCTAACATTGTGAGGAGTGGAGAGTGTTTTATGCTACAGTTGGGGCTTCATACAGCAAGGTTGATTCTGTTGCAGTGAAGTGTTACTGGGTTCCTAGAAAGACAAGAAGGAGAAATGTTGTTCTTTCTCACACCTTCCTCCTTGTTCCGTGTAGTCTGTGTTTTGGGTTAGCAGCTTCATCTTTGTGCCCTGATAGAACATACCCCCAAGTATCTGAGATAAGCTCTAGAAGTTTTAATTTAGTATTAAATGTATCACTGCCATGTAAAAAAAAAAAAAAAGTGTCACCTTTTTTAACACCGAAGAGTAAGAGTAAGAAAGCTACAGTGCCCATAATCTTGTCACCTATGTAAATCCCTTTGATGTTTTATATGGTTAGGAAGTTAGTACACCTTAGAACAAAACTGTACCTGAGCATCTCGGCCTTTATGTGGATGTGGTTAGTTACATATATATACCTATATATCATTTGTAAAATTAAACTCAGTAGAAATCATAACTAGAATGGAGACTTCATTGCTAAAGATGAGATTTCTTTAAGGAGTCTTTTTTTTTTTTTTAATTTTTTTTTTTTTTTTTCAACGTCTATCCATCCTTGGGACAGAGAGAGACAGAGCATGAACAGGGGAGGGGCAGAGAGAGAGGGAGACACAGAATCGGAAACAGGCTCCAGGCTCTGAGCCATCAGCCCAGAGCCCGACGCGGGGCTCGAACCCACGGACCGCGAGATCGTGACCTGGCTGAAGTCGGACGCCCAACCGACTGCGCCACCCACGCGCCCCAGAGATTTCTTTAAGAAGTCTTGAAACCAGTTTCCGGTTGCCACAGGAAAGAGTAGTTCACTAAAACCACTAAAGGAAATACCAGTTTTCAAAAAGATAAAGCTGTTGGGGCACCTGGCTGGTTCAGTTGTTAGAGCACGAGGCTCTTGATCTCAGGGTCATGGGTTTGAACCCACGTTGGAGGGTAGAGTTGGCTTAAAAAAACAAAACAAAGATAAAGCTATTTTTGTTTCTATCAATTCAAAGAACAATTTGCATTGTGACTCTGATAAGCAAGATTTCAATTCTAATCTGGCATCCACCTAGTGAGCACTTTGACTCGGACCCTATGCTAAGTGTTTATTACTTTATTTCCCATATATTCATTTGACAAATATTAAGCTTGTATTATGTGCCAGGCACTATTCCAAGTGCCAAGTACTTAGCAATGTACAGTCCCCACAACAAAAAAATACTTTTATTAAGATCATAAAGGCTTAATATTAAAACAGATTAGAATAGGGGTGCCTGGGTGGTTAAGCATTGGATTTCAGCTCAGGTCATGATCTCATGGTTTGTAAGCACGAGTCCCGCTTTGTGTGAGCCCTGCTCTCACGCTCTCTCTCTCTCTCTCCCCTCCCTCTCTCCCTCTCTCTTTCTGCCCCTTGCTCACCTGTGCGCACACACTCTCTCTCTCTCAAAAAAGACCCCAAAAAACAAAAAAACCCCAAAACAGATTAGAATAGTAAAATGGGAATAACTTTTCACCCATCTCCCATGCAGTGCTAAAGACTGTGGAGTTGTAAACTCGTGATCATTTGAATGTTCAGATAGCTGAATTCATCACTTTTTTTCTTTTGAAGATTTTATTTTTAAGTAGTCTCTACACCCAATGTGGGGTTTGAACCTATAACCCTGAGATCAACAGTTGTGTGCTCTACTGACTGAGCCAGCCAGGCGCCCCTGAATTCACTTTTTCCCCCCTTTTTCCTTTAGACTGGTTCATTGTTTCTCAAATTTTATTTTGCATGAAAATTACTGCTCAAAGTTGGATATATACTCAACAATCTATACTGAACTTTATGCGCTATTTAAGGAATTTTCAAGAGTTATTTTGATTAGGTTTTTTTGCATGTACAGACTGCATGTCTAACCCCTGTGTAAACTACTGTATGCATGTTCTTCTGAAGTTTGTGGGTTTTTTTTTTTGTCTTTTTAGGAATATATTAGAGGTTTTTCTGTATCAGTACATACTGATATTCCATAGGATGGATGTGCTATAATTGAAACTGTTTCTAATTTTTTTCTTTTATAAATGATACTGCTGTGAACATCCTTGTATGTACATGTGGATATCTTGATATACTTAAAAAAATTTTTTTAATGTTTATTTATTTTTGAGAGAGACAGAGACAGAATGCAAGTGGGTTAGGGGCAGAGAGAGAGGGGGAGACACAGAATCTGAAGCGGGGCTTGAAGTCACAAACTGTGAGATCATGACCTGAGCCGAAGTCAGATGTTCAACCGACAGAGCCACCCAGGCACCCCGATATACTTTAATGAGGATATCTGAAGAGTAATTTCCTAGAGGTGATTGCTGCCCCAGAAAGAATGTGCTTTAAAAAATTCTGGTCATGGGGCGCCTGGGTGGTGCAGTCGGTTAAGCGTCCGACTTCAGCCAGGTCGCGATCTCGCGGTCCGTGAGTTCGAGCCCCGCATCGGGCTCTGGGCTGATGGCTCAGAGCCTGGAGCCTGTTTCCGATTCTGTGTCTCCCTCTCTCTCTGCCCCTCCCCCATTCATGCTCTGTCTCTCTCTGTCCCAAAAATAAATAAACGTTGAAAAAAAAATTAAAAAAAAAAAAAATTCTGGTCATAACAAAACATCCTCCATCCAGTAGTAGGAGAGAATGCCTGTTTTTGCCACTTTGACAGTTGAAATTCTTGTTTTAATTTGTGTTTCTTTAACCATAAGCAAGGTTGAGCATCTATATTTATTTATTTTTTAAGTAATCTCTATTGCCAATATGGGGCTTGAACCCATGACCCTGAGATCAAGAGTCATATGCTCCACCGACTAAACCATCTCTGTGCCCCTGAGTATCTGTATGCATTTGTATTGCATTTGTATTTATAGTTTATTGCCTATTCATATCTTTTGCATATTTTTTGGTTGACTTGCTCATTTTTTTCTTAGGGGATTTTAAAAGTTGTACACGGTGTACGTCTTTTTTTTTTTTTTTTCTTTACCAGTTTGTCTTTTGTCCTTCATTTATGATACATTTTTTTCTCATTAATCTTCAGATTTTTGTGGCGCAGATTTATTAGTTTTCCTCTACTGTTTCTGGGACCATAGTTCATAAGACATGGGTAGGGCCCGTTTTGAGTCAGAACTTATTTTATCTTTCTCAACTGTTGTCCTCTGAGTGGCGAGAATAATTTATTGGGGCTGGATGAGGTGCAGTGGCCCCTGTGAGTTTCCCTGTACCAGTTTATCTGTCAAATGCCTGTTCCTTCTCTTCATCCTCCTGCTCCTGTGATTAGAAGCTATCAGATTGAAATTAAGTAAAAACCGATTCTTCCCTGATACACAGGGTGATGAATATTTGTTACAAAATTTGTTGATAAGGGAGGGACTGAGGTTGGATCAGTACTTTATAATCTTCTATTTCACCAGAAGGCTATATATAGACCATTTGGATATTATTTAAAATGGGGAGTGGGAGGGGAAAAGTCATTTGGAATAATAGGAACCAAATTTAATTTTGTTAAAAGGTAAAAGTTATATTTCAGGAAGAATAGTTTTTATTTATTTTAAGTTTATTTGAGAGACAACAGGAATGGGGGAGGGGCAGAGAGAGAGAGAGAGAGAGAGAGAATTTCTCCCAAGCAGGATCCATGCTGCCATCGTAGAGCCTGACATGGGGTTCGAACTCATGAACCCATGAGATCATGACCTAAGCCAAAACCAAGAGTTGGATGCGTAACTGACTGAGCCACCCAGGTGCCCCTGGAAAGAATAGTTTTGTTTTGTTTTGTTTTGTTTTAATTTTTTTTTTTCAACGTTTATTTATTTTTGGGACAGAGAGAGACAGAGCATGAACGGGGAGGGGCAGAGAGAGAAGGAGACACAGAATCGGAAACAGGCTCCAGGCTCTGAGCCATCAGCCCAGAGCCCGACGCGGGGCTCGAACTCACGGACCGAGAGATCGTGACCTGGCTGAAGTCGGACGCCCAACCGACTGCGCCACCCAGGCGCCCCAAGAATAGTTTTTAAACTTAACATTCAATCATTTTCAAATTATGATTAAACTTAAAAATTAGTATTCATTAGTATTCATCTACTATTTACCAGCTTTGTGACTTAGGGTTATTTAACCCCTTTAAGCCCACTTCTACATTTGTAAATGGGAGAGCTGTAAAATCCCCAAAGGGTTCTTTTTCTAATTAACTGAGAATAAATATGTGAAAGCAGCTAGCACAGTGCCTTTGCTTATCACAACTGGAGTATCATTTTCTTGTCAGATGAGGTTGGATGGGAAAATTACTCTCTAGTGCTCACTTTCTGAACCTATGATTTTAAATGTAAATGATTAATTTTAACTAGAAAAATACTTTCACTAATGAAATATTTACTCCTATTGGCTTCTTATTGAAGGATTCTTTAAAATCATTTTTGATAGATTTTGAAAGGTTTTAAATGTCCTGAGTGAATTATAGTTGTAGAGAGACTAATTTGAGGGTTGAACAAAATGAAGATAAACTTCATATTTGAAGAAAATGTGGAGCATGAAATGTCAGGGTGGAGTATACAAGGAAGAGAATGTAAACTAATATATCTGTGTTATAATGACTGAGTTTAAAATAAGTGAAGGGTCACCTGAGTGGCTTGGTTGAGCGTCTGACTTCAGCTCAGGTCAAGCCACGCATCAGGCCCTGTGCTGACAGCTCGGAGCCTGGAGCCTGCTTCAGATTCTGTGCCTTCCTCTCTCTCTGCCCCAACCCACTCGTATTCTGTCTCTGTCTCTCTCAAAAATAAATAAACATTAAAAAAATTTTTTTTTTAAATACATGAAGGGTGATAGCTAACTTTCCCATTAACCTCACCAAGGCCTACATTCTAACAACAAGAATTTTTAGTTTAAGAAAAGAAAATTTCCAGGACTCTTCCAAATGTAGTATTCTGTAAATGATATTCTTTCCATGTAAACAAACTTACAGATTTGTTTTCTTTCCTCACAAGCAGAGGTTTTGGGATTATCAGAGGCTTGTGGAATTTATGGATGTTTTCCTCTAGTATCGTAATCGTGTCATAATCGATTGTGTCACATTTGTTAGTCTCCTATCTGATTTTGGCCCTTCTCTGTGCTGTCTTCATGCCATGGTCAAATATATTTCTCACACTTTAAATTCTTGTTCCTAAATGAAATCTAATTATAATGTATAATATAGACATCTGTTTCCTCCCTGTCCAGGACAAAGAGGACATGTTCTTGTACATTGCTTTTATTGGAACTGTAACTGATACTCCTTTCTTTGGGATACTTTGGCAGTTCGTATCAGAGGGGGACAATCTTTACGGTGTCTCTCTCTATATATAGTCCATAGCTGTGAATGAAGGCATTCATAACGATTTATGCAGTGAATGCCATTAAGCTACTTTCATTCCATATTCAATTTTTTTGTGTAGCACAGTTGCTGTTTTGGCCATGATTCCCATCAGCATTAATTTTGTTCAGGCACATTTTATAGATGTGAATTCAGCCAAGAAAATTTTAGTATTGTGTTTGTACTTTTAAGCTGTGTAATTTTACATTGATTATTCCCATTGTAAAAGTGTGAACTGGGTAAAAAACTAACATTTTTGTTTGTATGTCTTGAACAAAGCATTTGTAGTATGAAGCAAGTTCCTAATGTTCTACCTCAGGAGCAGAGATGTTAGTTCATGGACCTTTTGATTCAGTAATTTCATTTATAAGTTATCCTGAGAAAAATAATAAAATATTTTGGTCATTCCAATTTTAATGAACGATTTTTGTGGCAAAGAATTTGAAACAAGTTGAAAGTTCAACAGTAGATAATTATATAAACTACTTTATATTTTTCATTGTTTACGACGTAACCACTTAAGATAATGATGTGGCAGATACTTAATAACAGTCAGCTCTCAGCCTTTCAGGAGATATTATTACCTGAAAAGAGCTGTTTATGGAAAATTATATAACTGATGGTTCCATTTAAAATACGTACATACTCATCTCCTCAACATGTAGATTATTGTCTCTTGGTGGTGGGATCACAGATAATTACTGCTGTTTGTAATCTGCATGTTCATTAACATGTGTTTTCAAAAGGTGAAAAGTATCACAACTCTATTTTCCTTAATATTTCTATTCTTATCATTCTTTTGCACCTGGTAGAGAAACAGTGTGCGTAATGGTTAGCATGTGGGCTCCAGCGTTATGGAGACCAGGGTTTGAATCCTGCCTTGCGCAGTTACTACCTCTGTGACCTCTTACGGGGGTGAAACCTCATTAGGCTTCACCTTATTGATCTTTATTGTTGTTGTTTTTAACTGATCTTTAAAATAGGGTTTTGGTTTTTTTTTTTAAGATTAAATGAGTATATGCATGTGAAGTTTATAGCAAGGTGTCTGGCACACGTAAGCCTACAATAAATGATAGCTTTTATTAATATTGTCATAACCACATGAAAATGCCAATATTCTTCTGTTAAAGCAATTTTTAAATTTAAAAAGGACATTTTTGCTTTAGGAAATTTAGAAAACACAGGAAAACAAAATATAATTCTGCTAGTCAAAGATGATTAGAATCATGTATGTACAACTTTGTATTCTATGAAAATCCAATACCTTAATAATGAATTGCTGGATGTTCTATATTTAATGTATTTACTGAAATATGGATCTATTTTATAATCTTTTTAGATCAAAACTTAAAATAGAAGATATAAAAGAAGCCAACAAAGCACTGCAGGTGAGAAGGAAGTGTCTTCCTCAAGTAGGGAAGTATAGATATATGTGACAGTCTCCAACAGAAGGTAAAAAAAGTCCTGTATGAATCTAAGGTATTGTAATCGAGTCCCACGATGTATAGAGGCAGAAGCACTAAACAGGGAGCTGGGACGATGGGGATCCAGCTCCTCCCTAATATTCCTCTAGAATTAATAATCATGTTGGAAATGACCTTGGAAATAATTTTATCTACTCTCCTACAAAGCACGCATGACAAAGTGAAACAGTCTTTGACTTTGAGCCCGAGTTCCTATCCTGGTCTGTTACTTATCAGGTTTTGACCTTCAACAAGTCATACGTTTATGGAGTCTGTTTTCTCTTCTGAAATGGCTGGTGAAATGGCCTTATGATTTTGCATGGCGTTGCTTTGAATATTGAGGTTAATATGTGTGAAAAGTGATTAGTACAGTCTATCAGTATATGATTCTGAATGTGTCTGGATACAGGAATCCCTTCTACAACACAGGAGAAAAATGGTCTCTCTGTGAGTACTTCAGTGAGATTGCCTCCTACCACATAGCTTCCCATTTTTTTAATTATTATTTTTTTTAATGTTTATTTACTATTGAGAGACAGAGACAGAGAGAGACGAGCCTGAGCAGGGGAGGGGCAGAGAGAGGGGGAGACACAGAATCTGAAGCAGGCCCCAGGCTCTGAGCTGTCAGCACAGAGCCCGACACAGGGCTTGAACCCACAAACCGCGAGATCGTGACCTGAGCCGAAGTTGGATGCTTAACCAACTGAGCCACCCAGGAACCTCATAGCTTCCCGTTTTTAAAAAGTTATTTATTTTGGGAGCCCTTGGGTGGCTCAGTTGATTAAGTGTTTGACTTGTGATTTCAGCTCAGGTCATGATGTCATGGTTTGTGAGTTTGAACCCCATGTTGGGCTCTGTGCTGACAATGTGGAGCCTGCTTGGGATCCTCTCTCTCCCTCTGTCCCTCCCCTGCGCATGCTTTCTCTTTCTCTCTTTCTCAAAACAAAATAATACACTTAAAAAAAATTAAGTAATCCCTACACCCAGTGTGGGGCCTGAAGTCACAACCACAAGGTCAAGAGTTGCACGCTCCTCTGACTGAGCCAGCCATGTGCCTCCATTTTGTTTTTTATCAAAAAACATGAAAATGTTACGTGTAAATAATTTAAAAGGTAAATTAGTGCTGGGAGGACTTAAAAAAAAATAGTAGCAGTCTCTTGTTCTTCACCCCCTTGTGCCTTATCCACCCTAGCTCCTGCCATCTGAAGGGAGCTACTCTGAATTCTCTTGGTTATTTCTTCTGGCACTTATCCCCCTATTTCTAAATAATATGCAGTATAATTCACTCATTTATTTAAGACCTATTTTAGATATATATTATTATTTATTTCTTTGAGAGAGAGACAGACAAACAAAGAGAATATCCCCAGCAGGCTCCACGCTGTCAGCACAGAGCCCAAAGCGCGGCTTGAAAACGAACCATGAGATCATGACCTGAGCAGAAACCAAGAGTCAGGTGCTTAACCAACTGAGACACCCAGGCGCCCCTATTTTAGACCTGTCTATTGCCTGGTCAACATGGTAGATGAGGAGTATTTGCTCACTCTCACCTTGGTCTGTTTGCTCTTCAGCGTCCTCCCAATATAATTAAGTAAAAGTTTCTGTAGAATTCATTTACTGGATATACTTTATTATGGCTATTGAAATATTCTTTGTTGGGCCATGTGGTATATATTGTGACTATATTTTCTTTCTTGAACTACTTTTTTCCTCTGGAGTTAATAATTGCCTTAAAAGTTTTGTTGTATTTGAACATCAGAGTTTGCTCATACTTTAAACACCTCTATAATATGCTTGATAAAAGTTTTCCACATGGTAAAATGAATCAGGTAATTATTTAATTTTTTTTTCCTTGGAGTCCTCCCTCCTGGAGTTCTTTGCTCTCCTGCTCCAGTCTGGTCTGGTTAGCCCTGTCTTGACATTTTCCTTTTCTTCCATTCTCAGAATTCCCTTTACCCTTCTTGAATGTTAGAGCTCCTGTTACCTGAACCCCTTAACTTCTTTCTTGGTTTACTCGCTTGTTTGGGACAATGCATTCTTTGATAGCTTCCTGGAAAATGTTGAATGAAGGTCAATGTTTTAAGAATTTGTGCATCTGCATAGATGCCTTTTATTTTGCTCTCACATTTTTTTGGACGGGTATGGGTGTCTGCCCAACTGTCATTATTTAAACTCTGTAAAATTTTTTTCATTATGACACATACCATGTATATAACTGTATTCATACAACTTAAAAACGATGGCATACTCTGTGACTTAGTTTATAGGGAGATTACATTCTCCTCTTTACAGTAGTAATTCTCTATTTTGTGTTAACCACTGTTGTTTTTCTTTATAGTTTTATCATTCAGGTCTATCTTTATAAAATGTCTAGATTTTTGTTTTTGTATACATATGAAAATGGATTTATTTATATGTGACTTAATTTTTCTTGTCCTTGCTATTGACCTGTTGACTGGTTCTGGGAGGGCTGTCCTCCAGTTTCTTACATTCTGGATTTTATCTGCCGTTTCATAGTAGCAAACTTGTTCCTCTGTCCTCTTATTGCCTGTAAACTGGAAGTTAAACCTAAAAGGCTTGGTTAGATTCTGGTGCAGACTTCTCTGAGAATTTTTATCCCTGCTACCATATTTTTAATATTCAGCAGGCCTTATTTACTCGTTTTTCCTTTTAAAATTAGCAATCTGCATTTTATCTCTGATGATATTCATTATAGTTTCTTTAAAGTTTTCTTTTGCTACTGCCATTCTGTCTTCTGAATTCCCTTCTTGGGCTTGTTTCTTTGGCTGAAGTACGTCCTGCCTGTCATTCCTTAAATGTTGGAATATCCTCCCATCTCAATAAAGGCACAAAAAATCTTGGAAGTCCTGTGTGTGTTGGCTGGGCGGATGAGAGTGGGTTGTTACGGTAAGCCTCACCATTGAGAAATCTGTTAACTCACAAACTGTTGGCCACCCTCTCCAAATTATGTTAATATCTATAGGACTTTTCTCTGGGGCAATTGAGTTTCTCCAGAGAAGGATCCTCTAATATCCTGTCTTGGGGGTGTAAGTTGGGCAGCTGACATTTTGGAATTGGACAGAGAATAAAGGCCATGTTTACAGAATGATAGCTTCTAGTTTTGGCTCTGCTTGAAAACTGCTGTTTCCTTGAGGAGGCAACTTCAGCTCTCTGGACAAGTTTTCACATCTGTAAAATGGGAATGGAGTTGCTAATCTCTGAGGTCCCTTCCAGCTGATGCACAAGGCTTGCCCTGCAGTGTACACATACAGCCTTTCTATTTGGGAGACAGGCAGGGTGAATTCAGTCAGATTAAAATAAGATTGGAAGGCCAAGCTCTGATGTCAGATTAATTCTGAACCTAATGATGCTGCTTTGAAACCTGCTTCACATCAGGCTTGCCATCCCTTAAGGTATAGCTTGGCAGGAAGCAAATCTGCTTCCACTAGGTGACTTTTGGACATTTGGGAAGTCACTTTCCTTTTTAATGGCATTCATCAAGTTGCATTGGATTATTATTTTAAATGTTTTCTTTTTTATTTTTGAGAGAGAGCATGAGTGGGGAAGGGGCAGAGAGAGAGAGGGAGACACAGAATCCAAAGCAGGCTCTAGGCTCCAAGCTGTCAGCAAACAGCCTGATGCTGAGCTCAAACCCACGAACCACGAGATCATGACCTGAGCTGAAGTCGGATGCCTAACCGACTGAGCCACCCAGGTGGCCCACACTGGATTATTTTTGAGTTCTCATCTTGCTTAAAAAAAAAATTCTACAATTCAAATCATTTAAAAAAATTTTTTAAATATTTATTTTTGAGACAAAGCACAAGTAGGGGAGGGGCAGAGAAAGAGACACACACAGCATCCAGAGCAGGCTCCAGGCTCTGAGCTGTCAGCTCTAGTCAACATGGACTAGAACTCACGGACCGTGAGATCATGACCTGAGCCAAAGTCGGACGCTCAACCGACTGAACCACCCAGGTGCCCCCAAGTCATTTGATTCTTTACTGGTATTTGATAGTAGCTATCCAGGTTTTTTTCTTTTCTTTAGCTTACTTTAAGAATATATAATATAGGGTGCCTGGGTGGCTCAGTTGATTAAGAATATATAATATATACATGTAATACATATGCAAAATATGTATTAACTGTTAATTCATAATGCTTCTGGTCAACAGGTTTTTTTTTTTTTTTTTTGTCAACAGGTTTTTAAATGTAGTTAAACTTTGGGGAGTTCCAGTTATACGTGGATTTTTTGCCTCTGTGGTGGATTGGCACCTCTAACCCCCAAATGGTTCAAGGATCTGCTTGGTTCTTTGGCATTGTGCCTTAGTCTGGGCTATTTTAAAAAGGAACATGTGGTGAGATTAATCAGAAGCACTCAAGTATCTTCTCATTATAAAGCTGGCATCATCTAACAAAGTTGCTTTTGAAGGGAAAAAATGTTCTTAGCCAGGGTCTTGGATGGGTTAAGAATGGGTCAATTTAGAAATTTCAGGTGTCAAGTTAACTCTCACCGGTTAAAGACTACTTACATACATTTTCTACTTATCTACACAGTAGCTATTAAATTTGTTATATAACTTAAGGGAAATTAATAGCCATATAAAACAACATAAGGTGGTATCTAAAATGACTTCAAACGTGATTTCCAAATTCTCTTCAAATTTAAGGACTTATGGTGGTATATGGTATACATTATGCCAAACTCATGCATTTCATAGTGAAAATGTATCCTTATTGTTGGACTAGATAATGTCCAAGGTTTTTTCTTTTTTTTAAAAAAAAATTTTTTTTTAATGTTATTTTTGAGAGAGGGAGAGACAGAGTGCAAGCTGGGGAGGGGCAGAGAGAGAGAGGGAGACAAAGAATCCGAAGCAGGCTCCAGGCTCCGAGCTGTCTGCACAGAGCCCGACACGGGGCTCGAACTCACAGACCGTGAGATCATGACCTGAGCCAAAGTCGGATGCTTAACTGACTGAGCCACCCAGGCGCCCCGGTTTTTTTCTTTCTTAAAGTGAACTCCCATCAGTAGATTTAAAAACAAAAATCATGGAAATGTCCACATACAGTTGTACAGAGAAGTTAACCCAGTTTCAGTATTTAACAATATATTGCCAATCTTATTTTATTTATATTCAACCCCTACCCCTTCTTCCTTATCCAGATTATTTTGAAGCAAATCCCATACTTGTTTCTCTCTCCAACTATTTCAGTATTTCTATATATTCCTACAAGAGGTTCTTGGTTGAAAATGTTTTCACGTGTTATTTTTATTGTTAACACTTTGAGCATTAATATGTACACTTCTTCCTACTAGGGACTGGTTTGGTTGAAAGACAAAGAAGCAACACATTGTAAACTTTGTGAAAAGGAATTCTCACTCTCCAAGAGAAAGGTAAGGGAGATAGGAAGTGAATCCAAAAGCTTTGGTGCAAACATGTCTTCTCAATTTTATTCATTCTTTGATTTTTCCATTTAATAGCACCACTGTAGAAACTGTGGGGAAATTTTCTGTAATGCTTGCTCTGACAATGAACTGCCGTTGCCTTCTTCACCAAAGCCAGTACGGGTTTGTGATTCCTGTCACGCATTGCTGATCCAGAGATGCTCATCTAACTTGCCATAAAACTCCAGAACTAAGTCCTTACGTCTGAAAGTACCTACAATGGATGGTTAATGTATGAACCTGCATATGCTGTGTTTAGACAGTCCTTCTTAAGCAGCTTTCAGATGGTATTAGTTAATCAGTTTTATCTTCCACACATTCATGGGAATTAGAAGCTATAGAATAGCTCATTGTTATTCAAGAACTTTCAACAGGGCATGCTTTAACTTTAGCTTAATTCCTCATTAACTTTTAACGCCATTTAAATCATGCAACTTTTAACGCCATTTAAAAGGCCAGATAACAAAGCTCACACACACACACACACACACACACACACACACACACACACTTGCCTTATTTTGTAAAGGCCTTCTGTAGGGGTGCATATTAATTCTCCAGATTGTCAAGTTGGCATTTGATGATGCCTGTAGTTTTAATGCACTTTAAAGCTTCACAGTTTTCAGAGAAAGATCAGAAATACATTGGACTTTTTGCAAGTATTAATATTCCAACTCCAGACTTTTCCTTAGCTTGCAAAGATTTCAACCTTAACTTTGTCCTTTCTGCCCTACTTCATTTGCCCGTCTTGCATTAGAAAAGGCCAGTACTTTATCCTATAGAATTTCCTTTTGGTCATCCTCTAATCATTAATGTATTTATTAGTATTTCTCAGATACAGCGGTTTAAAGAGGTATTATTTTACCTCAGTTTTTTCCTTTGAAAGGAAATTGAAACTTATCCTCCTTTACCTTTTTTACCAAAAAAAGAAAAAAGTTCTTACAGATCTTTCCATATGCTATACCTGCTAACACTGCTAGTTTTTTCAGGGAGGGCTCATACCTCTTTCAAAAGAAAAATCTGTCCCCAGAAAAAAGGTTTATTAATAGTAAGGGATTACAGGCTCCTGATTGGTTCTCCTCTGAGCATTAAAGGAGAAATCTAAAATAGCTAAACTTTGCCTTTGATAGGACTTGGGTAATTAACTTTATTAGATTTCCATTCTAGTGACTTTTAGGAAGCATTACATCATAGTGATCCACTACTGCAGTTATAAACACAGTGAACTCTTCACCATATAATGAGAACCTCTAAGGCAGGATTCTTTCTGGAACAGATGATCTGGTCTCAGCCCTGCCATGAACTATGTCAAGCATGAAAGATTCAGTGAACACTAATCCCATTGTACTGCTTGTAGCATACCAAGAATATGTAAAGTTACCCTTGTATGAGTAATCTTTGAATAGCATCACCACTTGGGAGACCCCTCTTAGGTATTTTTAGCCATGCACTTTAAGTCTATGAATCTTTCAGTCAGATAGGAATTTATTAATCCCAGGAATATTATAGAGAATTAATCATGACCACTTCCCTCCTACCTAAAATGGTTACTTACTCTGCAGGATCATTTCCTCAGAATATACGTATTTTCACTTGGGTTTAAAAAATGAATTTTCTAAATTGCCAAAGTATGAAACCAGTATTTTACTTGCATTATTTTCTCCATATCCAGTTAGCTTTTGAGGTCTTCAGTTAGAACTGCTGTACAGATTTTTAGGTGGTCTTTCTTGAATGTCGACAGAAATATTGTCAAGAGATGAATTATATTCTTGAACTGTTTTGTATTGATGGGATGAATTAACATTTTTATGATTACTAAAAATGAGAATAAGAAAATATGAAATTTCAAATACTAGGTGTTTATTACTGTGCTTACTAGAACAAATTTTTGAATGTGATTTTGCTTAAATTCCAAGGCTGGCTTCATTCAACAGACCATGATTTTCAGTCCCCTTTAAATTCATTATTCAAAACTCCCATTATCCCCATTGATTTGGGCTTTTTGTATGCAAGCTTTTCGGACAATACAACTTCATTTAGTTTGGGCTCTTATTTAAAAACTATTACTAAATTTTGGATTTTGTTATAAAACTTAATTTGTACTGCAAAACTTAATTTGTATTGTGAATCTACACTTTCTATTTGTCAAGATTTGCCCTCATAGAAACTATTTATGAATCTCACAAACCATTCCGTCTAGCCAGTACTACAGTAATGCTATGGTGGTGCCAAGGAATTGTAATTCTTTGTGATGTTTTAAAACAAAATGTGAATTTTATAAACCAAATAAAAAATATGAAAAATTGCCCTTTGAAAGGCTAACTTGCATTTATGACTTTTATTTCTTGATTTTAATAGGGTAGTCCTGGGAAAATAAAAGCCCATAGGATCTTTAAAGGGTTAAGTGGTATGAGCCTAATACTTAAACGGATAATTAAGGGAGGAGTACAAGCATTAAACAAGTCACTACTCCATTTAGCTAACACAGCTTCCTTCTCTAACAGCAGAAATCACTCCTTAGGAGTCACTTTGTCCAGTGTTCACGTAGATACGGCACCTTTAACCAATATGATTTACAATCAGTAACCGACACAAAGCATTCTAGGACAGACCACACCATTATCTCCCATGTTGATATTTATTACATTAATAACATTTCTAGCAAAAACAAGTAACAAGGTCAATAACTGAATTCACATTGACAGGTTTCATTTTGATCCATTAGCCAATTTGGAAAAAAGCCATATTGATCAAAGGGATTAAAAGTAAAAAGCACCTTTTCCTTGCTACATATAGTATTTTTAAACACAATGGCTCTAAAACTCCAAACAGATATCAAATGCAAAATCCAACTTCCAGGACTCTCATTTTAATGGACTATCACATGGACTTGTCTCTTACATTTGTTTAATCATTTATACAGTTACTAAAAAACCATAAACTTTAACTATTGGGCAGGAAAACTGAAAATAACAGCTGTGAGAATTATACTCCACAGTAAATACTTTTTGTACTGAATTTTCATGTCACTGAGAACCTTAACCTAGTCTAACATTTAGAGATAACTTACAACTATCATTTTTTGGGAAACATTTTTGGTACTTCAGTCAAGTGCTGAGTGAATCTTATTCTAAACTCTAGGGCTAGAATTTAAACTTCCAACACTCTCATCCCCAGGTAACACAATTAGGAATATTCAGAAATCCAGATACCTTTTAGATCTTCATTTCAGAGCTATGCTTGATAAATGACATTTGAAAAAGAATGACTAATATAGAAATTAGTGGAATTTATACTCCTGAAGCCACCTACACTCATCTTTAGGTTTTATATATTTACAGTATTGTCCAGGAGAAATTAAAAGAAAAAAGTTACACTATTTTCCAAGCTCTATTCCAGATGTCTGCTTATTAAAGACTTGTGGTTTATGCAAAGGTGAACCATTGTCCTCTAAAATTACACTATACTACTTGTAGAGCTAATAGTAAAATACATCAACCCAAATCTTATGAAAGCAGCACATCCTTAGGAGTAACTAGTATATAAAAAGTATCAACATCAGTGGTTTGAATATAAAAATTTATTTTTAAGTCAAAGTATGCAACAAATAAAACCTACAGAAAACAGATTTTCCCATCACAATCTGTTGCTTTACCAAATAATATTTTGAAAACACATTCCTTCAGTCATTATAAAGTTCTTAAAATACAAAAGAAATTAAATCTGTAAGAAAGTCTAGTAGACCAGACACTGTTGTCAGGACTTTGATGTTGGTGGTTATACTTTAATACATCCCACGCCATCCACCTCCACTCATGCCACCTTGCCCATAGTAACCTCCACTGCCTCCACCGCCACGGCCTTTAAAAAAAAAACAAAAAACACAAGAATTGTTTAGCAGGAAATATCAGTGCATACTACGTTAAAGATAACATGAGCTTAAAAATGTCCACACATGGGGACTAACAGATCAAACCACAGTAACCAAAGACACTTACCATAACCACCCAAGCCATCAGGAGTACCATATCCTCCACTGTAATTGTTACCCATTCCCATTCTTCCAACAGATCCATAACCTCCCTGATTATCTTAAAAAGAAAAAAAAAAGTTTGAGATTGACTGTAAAATGTGTAACTCTGCTTATTTAAAAAACTTTACATACCCATTCCATCTCTGCCATAGCCTCCCATTCCAGAACCTCCCATTCCAGAACCGCCTCCAGGAGTAGAATTCAAGAAGAGTTCAATGTACCGATGTTCTTTAAGAAAAAAGAAAAGATTAATAGGGATGAAAACAATGATGGATCAAATTTATCAATAAAAGCATAAAAATAATGACTAGCTAATATTAACCTGAAAGCATGTTTATAGACTTCCTATTTACAGACTTCCTAGTGGAGTGATAAAATGAATGCCAGATGGGCTACAAACCTAACTTACCAAGTTTGTTCAAATTGTACAACCCTGAACAAGCAAAAACTGGACAAGGACTCTGCTTCCTCATCTATAAAAAGGGCTGATTCATTATTACAGAACCAGCTAGTGTACTTTTTAAAATATATTCCATGTCCCCAGGGACACCTGGGTGGCTGGCTCAGTTGATTAAGCATCCACGAGACCAAGCCCTACATCAGGCTGTGTGTGCTGGGCATGGAGCCTGCTTGGGATATTCCTTCCCTCTGCCCTTCCCCTACACGTGCTCGCTTTCTCAAAAAAATGTATATTCCACGTCTCAAGAACCGAATTAGAATCATGAAAGTAATGTCCACAAAAACCTATTTTCTACTGACTACAAAATGATCTGTGTATAGTCAGATTTAGGAATCACTAGTCAGGGCAAAATTTAATATTTAAAATGGATCTGATAACATGCAGAAATAACTTCCCCGAGTTAGTTGACATATGGGTTAAGTGGTGATTTGCAAATGGCATGGGAACTCAGGCAAATGCAAGTAACATACCTATTTTCCCTCATTAATAACTTAAGCTGTAACAACCGGTCAAGTACTAAGCCTGAATTACCTTTTCATTAAAAAGGCCCGTAAAAAGCCTTTAAAAAGTCTAAACTTATTAGAGGCCATATGGTTTCAGGTCCCAATAACTGCCAAGAATTGTATCTACAGATCCTGTAACATCTTATATACGAGGAATTACAAATGAGTTATTTTAGAAATTCACACCTGAGAAATGAGTTAGCAAGCCAAAGATACCACTTACGCATGTTATTCTTATCTTTAGACATGGCAGCTACGGCATCTTCATGTGTCACAAATTCTACATCTGCTTCTCCTGTTGCTCTGCCATCAGCTCCAATATCAATATGCACTCGTATTGGATTTAGTGGTGAGAAGAACTAAACACAACATTTGTTATTAATTTTTCTATTTAGATTATCAGAAGTAAATTACCACATACCCTTATACATTAAAACAAACCTCTCTACTGCCCTGTATTGCAAGGCTAACAGATCAACTACAACAGTTCTGGGAATAATATAAAATTATACACTTAGGGGAAAATGCAAAGAAATTCTCTTTAAAATAAGCTAATAATGGGCGCCTGGTGGCTCAGTTGGTTAAGTGTCTGACTTCACCTCAGGTCATGATCTCACTGCTTGTGAATTTGAGCCCCCACATTGTGCTCTGCTGACAGCTCAGAGCCTGGAGCCTGCTTCTGATTCTGTGTCTCCCTCTCTCTCTGCCCCTCTCCCGTGCTCTCAAAAATAAACATTAAAAATTTTAAGCTAATAAGAGTGCCTTGGTGGCTCAGTCGGTTAAGTGTCCAACTCTTGATCTTGGCTCAGGTCTTGATCTCACGGTCATGAGTTCAAGCCTTGTGTTGAGCTCCACCCAGTTTGGAGCCTACTTAAAAAAATAACCCAAGTAAAAGAAAAAGCAAGCTAAGTGATATTAAAAGAAAAAAAAATTCTAACCCAAAACACAGTTCACTCTAAACAGAAAACGTGTCATATCCTACCACTAAGAGGGAGAGGAGTTAAGTCCTCTGTCCTCCCAAGGGAAGTATTTTGAAATTGCTAAAGGATAAATAGGTCACCTGACACTTAGAAACATGTGCAGAGAATTTAGGTGTTAGGATTTAGACCAATGGAATTTGATAAACCTATACCAACTATATGTGGACAGCTCCCAAAATATATTACTTAGTTCTAATCACAAGTTAACTAGGTTGAAGCAATCCTAAAAAGGTACTTAGGCCATCAGTTCCCAGTAAGATCTACAGCTAAATTCATTTTAGAACTAGATAGTAGTCTTGGCTTTGTAAGGCCCCCAGGATCTCTACGGCAACTACTCAGGAGGTAAGAATGGATGTGACTAGATGCACCTGGGCTGAAGTTTGCAGATTCTCTAACCAATTTGAAATCAACCAATTTCAAATCAGCAATAGCATCTATGCCCATTATTTTCACAGCTGTTTCTAATCACAATATAGCTAGAAAGTCAAACTGAACTTTGACTTGTTAACGTATTTCCACTTCCAAAACTTGACACAAGGGCAATAATATTCCAGTCATCTCTACTCTATGCTGATCACTTTTCACTAAATTTTTTAAAAAAGTTTACTTATTTGAAAGAGAGCATGAGGGGAGGAGGAGCAGAGAGGGAGAATCCTAAGCAGGCTCTGCATGGTCAGCACAGAGCCCGATGCAGGGCTCGAACCCCTGAAACCCTGAGATCATGACCTGGGCCAAAATCAAGAGTCAGACGCTTAACTGAGCCACCTAAGCATCTCTTCACTGAATTCTTAACTGGACTTTCTAAATAAATCAATATACAATGGGCAAAAAAATATTCAAAGATAAGGATATATATATATATATACACACACACACACACACACACTTATATATAGTATTAAAGGAATTCTGACATTAAAACTATAAAAAACATGAGTCCATTTAAGAATGCTTCAAAATTGGATACCAGAATAAAACTTAATTACTAAAATTACTCACATTAGCAATGTCATTTTCAGTTGCACGAAAAGGTAATCCTCTCATATGTACAAAATGACCACCATGAAATCCCGAACTTGCATCACCAGCTCCACCATAGCCGTGTCCTCCCATACCTAATATAATTTCCAAAGATTATAAGTGGCTGATACATGTAAAGCCTTTTGACAACACTTCTTCTCTACACATAACTTTTCCTATTTATACCTTTTTCTTTGCCACCCAAGAAATCTTAACACAGTTGTTCTAAACATCAAATAATCATTCTGAATATCAAATACTGTAAGTATATATCTGTATAAAAGCCCCATGTACGGATGCACTGAAATAGGACTATTTTTATACAAGTCACT